CGGCAGGCACGGGGGGCTGTGGTCGGGCTGCGCTGGAACGGCCCCTGCTCGGACCTGCCTCTGCCCTCCTCGGCGGCAGCCTCGGACCCACCTTTCAGCCCTCCCGGGACCCACCACCCCTCAGCTCTATCTGCAGACCCTCCCCAAGCCGCCCAGGTTGTGTCCAACGCCCCCCTGTGTTCTCATCCCCCCTTTGCCCAGCAGCCGCCCTGGCAGAAGCCTCGGGGAGGTCCCAGGTCCCCTCGGCGAGGCTGGGGGGGACACACAGCCCTCTCTGCACCCCAGAACCCCCAGACACGTGTAAATAGCATTTTTTCCCCTTTCATTTTTCAGTTCCCACAAGGCACGAGAGCCCATCGAGCCCCTGCATCCTCCCCATGTCCTTTGTTACAAGTGGTTCCTAATAACCAGCTAATTAGAGAATCCCTGAATGGTTTGGGTTGGAAGGGACCTTAAAGCCCATCAAGTCCCACCCCCTGCCATGGGCAGGGACACCTTCCACGGGACCAGGTTGCTCCAAGCCCCGTCCAACCTGGCCTTGGACACTTCCAGGGGAAGCCTGGCTCTGTTCTTTGTTCTTTCATTACAAGAAAGAAGCAGCAAGCACAGGGTGGTTCTCAGTCCTGGTAGGAGACATCAATACCTGGTTACCTGGCTTGGCTTCCTCTGTTCCTAGAGATTCCCTGGAGCCAAGTGTGTCTGAGACAGGGATCATAGGGACTGGACATTTATCCTTCCCTAATCTGGCTCCTACAGAGATTAAAGCTGGACAGCTGCATTGCAGCTACCTCAGAGGCAGGTTGGGAGCCACTGGTGGATTCAAAGAAGGATTAAAACAAGGCAGTGTTTTTGTGGTGGAGCTTTCTCAGAAGGCAGGCAGGGATGTGCTGAGCACAGACTGCATGGGATGCTCAAAAAGGCAGTGACAATTCATCTCCCTGAGTCAGAAGGGCAAACATTTTACAAAGCAAACTCTTCAGAGTTTCCCCCAGCAAGGAATAAATGTAGGCGTGGACTGGGGGATATTTGTTGAGAGAGACACCTCAGAAATGCTTAGTGGGTTCCTGCAGAAAGGGGGACGACTCAGTAATGTACATGAATTAATCTGCCTGTCACTAATTGCAATGGACTTGGGTATTTCTGGCACAAAGAAGTGTTTGCTTAATACCAGTCACTTCCTAAAGGTAGAGCAGGGCTGATTTAATATGTCCCTTACTATTTTCTAGTGACCCCAAACAGAACATTACCTGTTGTGTGGCATCTTCCTGAAGTTTCAGGGTATTTAAAAATGAGGGTTATTAAGCTGGGAAGGGCAGTGGCCTCTCAGAGGTACAGAGCTGAAATCTCCTCTTCATCTGAGCCCTGCCAGATGGAATGAACTGCACCAAGAGCTCCTCGAGGCTTCAGTGTCACCAGATCCCAGCAGAGCTGCTGAGAGGTTTTATTTTGTGAATCCACAGAGCCCTCCTGAAGAGCAGTGGAGCTGCTCTCCCTTTACAAGCACTGCCAGCCAGGCTCCTGCTCCAAATTGCATCCAGTGTGTTATCTGAATTCCAGCTGCATCCATGGATGTCACAACAGCTCCTCGTTACTCAGACATGGGATATGCAAAGCAGAGCAGCACAGGCAGAGTTTTATGTGCTGATACATAAATAATAATAATAATAATACAGCAGAGAGTGGGTTTGAAAGGGGAAGAAATGAGCAACACAGACATTGTAGAGGGGAAGGTTCACAGCAGGCTTGGTCAGGGATGCAGGGAGCTGCTGGTTTTTTCTGGGATGCTCAACTCCTACAAACTGAAATTTCGTGCCAATGGATTTATGCTAATCACCCCTACATCAACTTGAGTGTGAGATTTAATTATTAATGCTATCACTTATAAATAAATAATATACCTCAGCTTGTAAAAAGACTTCAGGTCACAGGAAAACGAGCTTTGTAATTGCAGGCTGGTAACATCCTTCCTCATGTTGCTTTAGGGAGGGCAAAGGAGTGGAAAAGCCTCTCCTCTGTGCCAGCAGTGTGTGCCAGGAGGATGGCAGAGTGTGCCTGCAGACAGCCCTGCAGTGTAGAGTTTCCCTGTGACTCAGAGCTAAGGATGGAGCTTTGCTACTACAAAGAAAAGAGAACTACTACTGGAG